AACATGGGTGTGCATATATCTGTTCTTGTCATGGCTCTCACTTCTTTAGGGTATATACCTAGTAATGGAATGGCTGGGTCAAATGATTTTTATCTCCAAATATTTTTAAGACTGGGATGAGTTCTCATCTGTCTCTCTGAGATGTGTTAAAGGTATCTGAAAGTTCTTTCCAGTATGAACATGCCAGAAATCTGTAAAGGAAGTTCTCCCAGAGCATTCTTATTAGTTCCAAATTGGGGACCTTGAGAAGAAGAATGAACTCTTTTGGGTGACTAGGGGCTATCCTTGGGTACTGAAATGATAGAACATTAAATAGTACTGTGTAGTACATACTCCACTGACCTGAAAGGTTAGTATACATTTGAAGAAGCCTTAGTTTCTGATAACCTTTTGTGATCTAGCCTTTGGACTAGCAAGACTGGCCCAGGTTTATTAAAAAATCTATTGCCATTGAGTCCACTCTGACTTGTGATGACCTCATGTGTGTCAGACTAGACCTGTGCTCTGTAGGGTTTTTAGTGGCTAGTTTTTGAAAAGTTAGCAGCTGGGCATGTTAACTGTACCACCCAGGAACTCCTTAGGGATGTTACTAGGTGGGAAAATCAATAGTACTACTTTTTTGTATGCTACTCTGCCTGATTTTTTTTTTTTTAAATGTGATTTGGGTGAAAATTTACAGAGTAAAATGGTTTTCCATTCAATAATCCACATTCTGTTTTGTGACATTTACTGTGGTCCTCACACTGTAACAGCAATCTTCCCACTTCCTCCCTATACCCACCCCTTCTCTTCACTCTTCCTTCCCATCTTCTCCCACCTTCCTAGCGCTCCAGACCATACCAAACTCACTGCTACTCATAGCAACCCCTGTTGGGTTTCCAAGGCTGTAAACCTTTACAGAAGCAGGCTAAATCATCTTTATTCCATGGAGTGGTTGGTGGATTAGAACCACTGACCTTTAGTTAGCAGCCAAATGCCTTAACCACTACACCACCAGAGCTCCTTCTTCCTAGCTCTATCCCTGGGCACATGCTGTCCTCTTGATCTCATATTCTTAATTGTTGTAATGAGTGTATAACGTCCTGATATATAGGTCTCTCATTTGGCTGCCGGTTGAGTCATGGGGATTAAGTTTAATACCTAACTTGAAGGGTGTCTGCAAAAACGGCAAGGAGGCCACATGTTCCGACCTCCTCTAACCCTACAAGAGGAAGACAGGATTACCAGCAGTAACTGAAGGCCTATTCCTGCCAGGCCAGACATGCTGCCTCCCTCCAGCCCTTGCACCAACCGTTCCTCCCAAAGCACCCACCACCTCTCTCCTGGGTTCGATAATTCACTGCAGTGGCCACACAGAGTTCACCG